ATATATATATATATATATATATATATATATATATATATATATATTACTATAATATTACTATATAGTTTGATAATGCAATAAATTATGCATTTTGTATTTATTATAATATATATTTATAAATTTATAAATATTAATATATACCTTTCTAATATTTAATAGGAAGAAAATCGTCAATTAATAGAACGTTTGATTAAATATAAAACTCGAGATGCAGAAAAAGTGAATGAAGAAAATGACAACTTTTTGAAGTGAGTACAGTAATTATTTTTATTTTATTAGCTTTTTGTTCATATTAATTATTTTTTTTTCATTTATTAATTTCTTATTGTTAAAAAAAATATCTTATATAAAGATTTATATTTATTTTCTTATTTTTTTTAATATTATTAAATAGAGAAAATGGTATTTATTAAATGTAATATAATTGTAATATATATTGCTGTAAATAGCTTCTATTAGTTATATTTTTCTTCTTAAAAATGAATTTCTTTTCTTTGTGCTTTCATGCAAAAGTAGTATCTTGCCAAGTTTCTATTTTATTCTTTATCTTTTGTTTCTATGTATTCTTTGTAAATTAGGTTTTTTTTTCTGTCTTAATGCTTTATTTTATCTTATAATTTTTTATTGATATTTTAATTTATTTTCACATGCTTGATTAATTTTTAAAATTTTTGTGCATTTGAGTAATTTTCATTCCATTTTAAATATTTCATAATATGTTTTTTAATATTATGTGATACAAATTATATTATAAAAAAACTAAATTAATTGAAATATGTTTGTTATGTTATGTTTGTTATGTTTGTTTTGTTATATTTTCATCCTTAAAAACAAAATTCTTGTCATACAGAGAAATATAAATTAATTGAATTTGTATCAAAAATCATTTGTAGTTTCGTTACATTTATTTTATTGTGTTTTAAGATTTATTCTTATATTTTTTTAATAATAGTTGTAATACATCTGTATCGATCGCAGATCACTAGCTATGCTTCTATACCATCTGTCGGCAAAAAACTCTCACAATTATCATAAATTACATAAAATAATAATTTCAAAGCTTTTATAGCAAATAATCGCAATTAATTGCAATTTAATATTAATTTTTGCATAATTTTTACATTTTTACAATTAATATATCAACGAAAATATGAAAATAATTCTTTTATATTTTGTTTTTATTTATATGTATAAATAAATTTGTTTTTAATATAGTTAACATAATAATAATAATAAATTTAAGATTTAATTATAATATATGCATATATTGATTGATATTAGTATTAGTAACAAATTTATATTAAATATATAATACATTGTGATTACACTGAAAAAAAAGTAATAATAATAATAATAATTTAAATAGATAATTTTTTTTTTCTTAGTAATTATGCTTGATAGCCTATATTTTACAAATGCTACATGCACGAAATTTTAAATATTAATTTCGTTTCGCATGATAATATTGTATACTAATTTAAGAATATTTTGTTATTGAATAATATTTAACAATTTGATAATTCATATTTCATTATCATGCACATATCTCTTTAATATATTATCATTTTTCAAGAGTGCACATATATTTATTTTTACTAAAAATTTCGTTTTTATACATCCTATAATGTTATTTGTTAGATATAAGAGAATTTTTTTTTAATGAAATTAAAATTATACAAAATAATACTATAAAATTCATATTATCGTGAAGGATTTAAAAAAGAGATTAAAAAAAACAGACAAAATTATATATATTAATATAATTTTTTTTAATATTTAAGATTAATTTTTAAAATTTAATATATCGCAATTTTTATAATTTGCGATTGTTAAATTTCTTTATTTTAAGAACAAAAATCTTATCAAACTATATATTGCAGTTGAAAAAATTATTTATAATTTTAATTATATATATAAAATTAATTATATTTTATATTTATATATAATATGCGTAAATTATTTTATACTTTATCAGTATAATTTTTTTCAATATAGTGTTCTGTGTTTTTTCATTTATCATAATAAATGATAATTCAAGATTTTTTAAAATTACGGGAAGTTATTGAAAATAATATTTAAGTTAAGTATAAAGAATTACAAATCATTTTCATTTATTGAAATTATATGCAAAATATTGAGCTTTTCGCAGAACAAGATGTCATCATCATCGTAGCACTTTACATTAGCACTTCACAATGCTTGACATTTTATTTTCAGTGAGAGTTTTTCCAGTCCGACAGCCTTTTTGATGCATACCATATCAAAATTTGGGTAAGTTTGTGCAAGTGACGTGACAGAAATTATGCTTACCGCTCAACTACAGCTTTGGGTCATTTGTTAAAGGAAGCTGATCCTACTATATGATCTTATCCTTCGTTCTGTTTGTGCTTTTGTGTCCATGAGTATTAAAAATAATGTATTATCATATAACGAATTAATATAAGAAAGTAAAGCAAATGAGTGAATTTAAAAATAATAAAAAAAAGATTAAATGATAATTGCTTAAAAATGTTTACTTTACGGACCAAATAAGTAAACATAATGATTATAAATATAATTGAACTAATGTGAACAGATAAGATATAATAAATGTTTAGAATAATAACTAATAAAAAAGAATAACATCATCGAAACACTGATATTACTAATTGTTTTGTTTTGTGCATGAAACATAACAATGTGATGATCAAAGAGAAAGGGCATTCCGATATTTTTGGGTATTTATATACAGCATATTGTTCTCTCTGATGGTTATTTGATTTTTATCAAATTGTGGATATGTTTATGTGATATTTTTCAGAAAAAGGCAAGCAAAGGTTCAAAAAGAATTAGAAGATGCTGCACGTGACACACGACCAGTTAGTCCCGATAGATCGAGTTTAAAAGAAGGAATCGCTGGTCTTCCTACTGCGGTACCAACGAAAGTATCCGTCACGTTTGTACGTTGACAAAACTTTAATTTATAAAATAATTTATATTACGCTATATTACTGTGGAAATTTTAGTACAAAATGTTTATTAATTCGTTGTAACACGAAAATGCATGTTTTGTATGACGAAATAAGAAATTGTTGAATGCAATCTCGACGCTTGATATTTGGAAATTTGTATCACGAACAATTACACGAACATTTTATTTCTCACTTCAGCATTAATATTAATTTCATGCAATGATTTAAAATATCCGATTTTTAACGATCTTCGAATATCAAATAGAATTAGATCTATGTGATATGTCAAAAGTTACTTTAATACGTACTAATTATAAATTGAATATTTACAAAAGTACTTTTAAAAGATATATAACGAAATATATATATTTTTTATTAAAAGGAAAAGTTATTTGTATTACAGATGTATTAAATTTATTTTTTGAAAGATTTAAAATTCATTTAAGAAGATTATTTTTTTATTTTAACGATTAGTTAAATTAATATTATAAATTTTATTAATAGAATATTGATATATAGACATGCATATGCAACATTCGTTTTCGTTTAATGTAATATATTCACATATCTTATATAGTATCAATTTCTCCACATATTATGTATCTAGAGATCAACGAAGAATAAATATACTATTTTTAATACTTTTTATAAGTATAGACATAAATATTTTCAAGATGAAGTGTCAAATTAACTGTAAAAGAGTTTATTTTTCAAGTGTAGGAATGATATAGTATGTATTTATATAAATCTTTTACACAAATAAGTGTAAGTTTTCTCTATACATAGTGTAATTTTATAGAAAGAATATAATTCGTTAAACTAATTAGGTATCAGATAATATCGGTTTAAGTTAGTTCGTTGTGTTTATAACAATAAATTATTTTATGAGAATATATATTTATATATATACATAATATATATAATCGTTGAATACTATATTATTACTATTTATAGTTCTTGTATTTCTTATTTATGCATGTTATGTTACTAGAATATTAATGTTATTGTACTATTATTTACTATAGCGATATTTACAATCACGTAAAGTCTATTCTTCATTATATTCTAATTGAGTACATACATATGTAAGAAAAACGTATTATTTATAGTATATCAAGTTAAATATAGTAATACAATATCACGTTATTTAAGTTAAGTATATTTCTTCTGTGTTTACAAATATGTCAATAGATTAGAATAATAGATATTAAATGGTGGAAAATATTATTATATTGTTTAAAACGGGATAATTATATGGATATTAAAAATATTTTGTATAGATATGTACCATGTACCTATATGCTCTAATTTAATACCATTTATATTACGATTTTAAATGAGGCCTTGTAGTGTATAACGCAAGTGACAGTATATTAATATAAATTTATTCTAATAAAAATCATATGAATTTTTAAACCATTTCGCATTCAGTTTTAGCTTAGTATAATTTATCTATTGCACATAGCATCGAAATTTAATGTCCTGTATTTAGCAACATATTTACAGCATTAAACCACTTTACGTCGAATATCATAATCATGCACAATATAGAATGCGCGTTTTATGCATGAAAATTGCAAAGTATATATAAATTCATTTCAATATTCAAAATATCACATAATATCAATATGATTACTTTTCATATTACAGCATTTATGATATATTCTATTTATTTCATATATTTTCTATTAATTTTTTATATAATTTTTATTAAATTTAATTTTTGAAGCTTTTAATAAGAGTAGCATATAGTACAGATGTTAAAATTTTTTTTGATAAAAATCAACGTTAATTCTTTTAATTTTGAAATATTTTTTTCTAATTTTCAAATTATATTTTATGTTTAGTAATCAATTATTTTCCTGTGTCACAAAATTTAATACGTAAATTTAAAAAAAACTTTTTTTTTTTATTTTAAAATTTTCAATATAAAAACTTCAAGAGATTTCTATCAAGCTATTCGATCACTTCGTTATAATTCGAACGGACAATATAATTTTACTTCGATACTCTTGTTATATTAATTACTGCCTCATGCATGCCATAAACTTTTCAAAATTTATACGTCAAGTGTTTAATAACCCTTGCAGACTGCACACGACGGAGAAGTTTATGCCGTAAAATGGTCTCCCGTCGAGAGGATGCTTGCCACCGGTGGTGCTGACAGGAAGGTGAAGCTTTGGAATATCTCAAAAGGTGATTAAACGAACAAAATCGTATTATTATCGAAAACGTTTTCGCCTACGATTTAAATATTCGTCACGAATCTCGTGCGATACATATACGAGTGATTAATCAAAATAAACGATTCCTCGAACGGTCTCTGATATTACGCGCAAATATTACGCGCAAGCATCGAGATCCCCATGTGTATAATCTATTTACCGGTCTTGCCATTATTCAAATTTGTAACCAGCTCCGATACATCGTGTAAATTATTACACCACTCTCGTTTCAGTCACACAGGGTCTCACAGGAGTTTATTCGTTCAATGTCATAAGAGTTCAAGGATTAAACGTATAACGTTGAATAGCAGAAATATTTTATCGCATCGAAGCTAACGTGAAATTTAAAATTTAAATAATTGATTGTATAACGCGTGATCTATTATGCACTACTTAAAGTTAATCCAATATCAAATACAAAATTTTCTTAGTTGAACGAAACTACGTAGGCCAATCAAGCGATACACAGTTACTTTAAAATTTCATTAAAACTTGCTATAATGGAGCAATTAAAACTTTGTTACCATCTTTTGTTCATGAATACGTGCTTCGAAGACTTCCTTTTCGTGAAGATCGTGAAAAGGAAACTGGAGGGATATATCGAATAGTCTGCTATGAGCTATTACGATAAGCAATTTCATTAGGGAATTGAAATTCATTTTATAGAAAATTTTGTCAAATTTTATTTTTACTTTATTACTAGGTTTATCGATTTATTACTAGGCTTATGCTTTTTTATCTTCTGAATGAAACAAGATGTATTAAGATCATTCGACCTAGGACGTTAGAAGAATAGGGAGATGAATAGGGGAATAGAAAAATGATGCGTCAGATAAAATATATCGCGATATGCTCTTGAAGACCTCTTTTCTTTCTGGTGAATGAAGTATGTTAACGAATCAACAGGTTTCTTGCAATGTATACAGCCGACTAACACCGAGAAATTTATTAAAGTTCCGTCTGCTACGTTTTCCTTGCTATAGCCGAATGACCCACACATGCTTTATGATGCTTGAATATAATCCTTGAGCTATGTTGCAAATTGGATGAAACATTTATCTTTATTATTCAGATTATATCCGTACTTAACTCGTCTCATTCATGGATTTTCTCTCGTCTTCGATCTTTCTCGACATTTTTAAACGTTATTAAACGTCATTTTTAATCGTTTCGTGATCTTAACTATCTCTTTTTTTAAACGATTGTCATATTTTTGCATCGTAATCTAAACTAAATTAATATAAATACGTAATTTAGTTGATTTTATAATGTAGTTTAAAAGAAATTAATTGCAAAATGGAGATTATTTTAAGAATAGTAGAAAAAGGAATATAAATGATATAGATAAAGTGAATAAGTAATTAGATTGATTATTTTTTACTAAGAATTTAAATTTATTATGTTTCAGGTGCTTCAGAGAGCAAAGGTATTCTCGTTGGTAGCAATGCTGGAGTGATGTGCGTCGATTTCGATTCTACAGGAACATTGATTCTTGGAGCATCGAATGACTATGCCAGCCGAGTATGGACTGTCAGTGACTTCCGATTAAAGGTAAGTGGAAAACTTACTTTGCACGTAGTTGATCTTGCAAGAAAGTAGATTGCCGTATAAAACTAATGGAATATAAAACAGAAGGATTTCTTTATTCAATTATTTTTTTTAGCTATCGAATTAGAATCATAAAATTATATATCTACAATGTTGCGATTAAATTGAAAAAATACAAACAAAAAAAATATATATATATTTTATTTTTACTCACATTAATTCTTATTTCGTCGATGAATATTTTATTACATGTATTAGAAATTTTTGTTGTTAAAAAAAAAATATAATTAAAATATAATATATTATTAATCAATAAATTTATTCAATTTATTTGAAGTTTGATTTATTTGAAGTCTTATCAATTTCATTAAAGAAATAAAAAATATTGAGAATTTAATATGATTCTAATTCGATGTATCATAAACCATTGTTCGTACGTTAATATCGAATATCATTTCTTTGAATTTAAATATTAATTAATTCCAGCATATTCGTGTCCATGAATATAGAGAGTACGATGTTCCATTCGAAGAAATCTAAAATCATTACATTAACAATGGTATCGTTATCACGTTATATCGTATAACACTAAGGTTTAGAACGGAACGACAGTATATCAATAATATATATTTATCGTCGTACACGTATCACGCTAAAAATCGAGGGGAGATAAAAAAAAAAGGTGATATTCGAAAGCAGCAAGAAAGCGTAATAATGAGAATCAGTCTATGAAAATATGATTAGCTTCGTGTCCTAAAAAGTGCATAAAGAGACGTCTAGGAGATTGTCCATTAAATTACAGGGTTATTCCAAGATGAGGAGACGGTCTGGCTAGTGAATCTGCCAGAAATGAAGCACTAGAATATGAAATTTATCACCTGTTATCGTCACCCTTCCAAATGACCTATTACGCTATAGTCCACGTAAATCTGGTGGCGGGAATCATAAAGTTAATGACGATTCGCAAAAAGCATTTCGACAAAATTGTTCCATGAAATCATTCGAGGATCTTCAATTGTCATTCTAGTCGCGTTGGAATACCTTCTTGGCGAATACCTTCCATAATCTTTCACGAGAGAATAATATTGTCCCCTCTCGTCCACGATGTCGATATTCCCTCATCTAAAGTTTGTCCTAGTTTTGTTCGACGTCAATTCTTTATATTGGGAAGGAACTGTAAGTTTCGCGGTTATCTTCTTCGTGATACTGTCTTCTTTTCTGCTCTTTGAGACCTCTCTCGTGAGATCTCGTTGAAAGGGGAAAAAAGTCATCAGTAGAATGATCTTTTTTTCTCACACGTACGGAATACGTTTCTTCTATTCGGATGAAAGATTGCGTGGTATGTGGTTTTTATTTGAATATCAATTGCGTTCAATCTCGAGCACTGATTGTATTGTAGCAGTTATATTTTATTATTTTGATCATATCGCCAATATTTATATAGATGATGTATTGTGGTATAGAATAGCTTCTGATAACTGTTTGAAGTTTATAAGATGGTTTTAAGCGGAGGGGAAAAAATTATTGTTAGTATTGTCTTCTTTACCTTTTTGCATTCCGTGTATAAATGTAATAATCTCTCTTTAAATTTTAATTCAATTAATTAGGATTTTCAATCGATTATTATTATTCGACGACTATTACATTCTTCTAATTAAAATACAAGTTTTGTTAAAATAATAAGAAAAAGTCGATCAAAATTGATTTAGGAATCGTTTAAATTAAACGAAAATTAGAACGAAATTAAACTAAGTATTCCAGTGCATAGAATTTAGCTAACGATCCAACACAAAATTCGCAATCGATACGAGATACTTACTCATCACCAACATGTTACGCGTGTAACAAACCACACGAGTGTATCCGAGCAAAGTTAGATTGGGCGATAACGTGACTTTACAATTCCATGACATACTTGATACCGCGTTTCTAAGTTGCATTGTAAGGTTTCAGGTTGCTTGCTATGCGGTAATATCGCCGTTTATAGCATGGCCGTTGCCAATGGAATACAATGTGTAATATATCCGTATGAAGGACGGTCGGTGTATTGTTCGCGTATCGTTGGACATGTTAAATGTGATTATTCGTCGCCCTCGGATCGTGACTGTTATATACGGGTATTTCATCCTCCCAGACCTCTTTCTCTCGTTTCTCTTCCCTTCGAACCTTCTACTTCTTCCTCTTTCTTCTTCTTCGTCTTCTTCTTTTTTTTTCAACGGAGCATTTTTTTCCCTCCATCTTGTTCTCGAAACAAGTCGCGTTGAGAATCCACTCAGAGGCGGCAGTTTCATTCTAAAGATTGGCGGCCAATGGTGCGTAAACTTACGAGAAAACACGCGAACTCTTGAAGGATTCGAGGCGTAGCCGGCCACTCTCGGTTATTCACGATGAAAGGTGCGAGAACTTGGCCGCACCCGATGTTTATTCGCCTTTGCTCCTCGTCTCGCCAATCTACAATGTTTCTCGCGCACAGTTTATCCCCCTGCACAGGAACTCTTGATTAATTTCTTTACGCGGCGAGCCAGTTTCTTCTTGTCCCCCGTGCATCCGCTCGAGGATGCTCCTCCAGTTCCTCGCGTCTAATATGTAAGCGGTTACCGTCCCCACGTTCGTGAATTATAACCCCTTTTATTCGATACCTTCTTATTATGGTGACGACCGAGGAAATACGAATAACATTTTCCTCCCTTCGATTATTCAAAGTCCTTCCGCGGCGGAAAAGCTGGCGCAATTACTGGAATTTCAATATTTTCACTGGAAACGAATCGTTCGCCCCGTAGAACGCGGAATCGTTCGCGGATAGATTTTATTCGAGCTGGTATAATAGATGCGATGGAATTCATGAATAAAGTTTTTCCCTTAATCATAGAAGTACCTTTACCTCTCTCTGCTTTTTTTCTCCGCTCGTATTTTTTTTTTTAACAAAGGAGAGAGAGAGAGAGGGAGAGAGAGAATAAAGGAAAAGAGTTTCTTACAGATGTGGTAGAATTGAAAGCCATGGGTTATCATCCATTTCCTTCTTCCCTCTCTATTCCACGATTCTTCATGGCGATTTCGACGGGTCTCTTTTTTCGCCCGGTGACCTCGCTTCTTAAATTTTATATTTCTCGGTAGGACCCTTGTTTGTCACCCTCCCTGGCAGGGAAACGATGCGTTAAACGAATATCGATGGTATTGGAGGGTACCTGGCCAGAGCGATAATGGACTCAATTTCGCGGCAGTAGGGCGCCAGTCGTTTGGATTTCTCACGTCCCGGCACAATATCGATTCCCTTCGTGAAGCCCTCAGTGATTTCCTCCTCGTTCACCATTGTGAAATTGCACGTACCTTTTTACATTCTTCTCCGATAGTTGGTGCAAGCTTTCGTATTCTTTTTTCTTTTTTTTTTTTCGTTCACGGTTATCCTCTTTGTTCTCGATTGTATAAACAACGATGACAGGAATATCTTTTAATCGTGATTAAGCGTGAAAGTAGATATTTGTACTTAAATCGTGCTTGAGCGATATTAAAGGAAGTACGAATGGAATACGTTCTCGCGTATCTCTTAAGAATCGAGCTTTCGAATGAACAAAAGTGTTAATCGTGTTTCTTTCGTAATTTTAGAAATGCAAGACAAGAATAATAAATATGAAAATTCTTTAGATTGTATCCAGAATGTTTCAGAAATAGGTAATTATATTTTAATGTCGTATTCTACTTTTCCTAAAATTGTGAGACTCCATTCGAGAATAAATTATCCGAGAGAAATTATCCAAATTATGAGAAATAATTCTTGAACTCGCGATTCTTTTACTTTTGATGAGATATTCTAAAAATGGAGAAAAGCTTTTTTTTTCTTTCGAAAGCTCTTCTTTCTTAAAATATAAATACTTTTTACTTGTGATAAAATATCTTAAGAATACTTAAGATTTATTTAAAGGAATTGTTGAAAATTATTTTTTCTCCTAATCAAAAAAAGAAAATATTGTAGGTATATGCACCATTACATTTTTTATCGACTTTTTATCTGCAGGCACATAAAATGCGATGATATAATTACAATCCGCGTGATATTTCTCGTAACAATGAATCCTCTTAAATCACTCTTAATTGCCCAAGATGTATTATTATAGTGGGTTATATCCCATTTTTGGTCTTATATTGGTACGTAAAATACGTGCTTAACAAGAATCGAAAAAATTACTCGTCTCTTAGACTTCCGTGATTAGTTGATGATGCTTGAATCGTTGATTACTACTTTCTATCTCGTTATTCTTTTTGACTGGAATAACTGATCGTTGAAAACCTCTGATTTTCGATATAAAATAATGTATTCTTATACAAGATGAAGTCAGGGTGTTATTCACATAAAATATCATTGGTATATTTTTAGACACACGAGAAAGAAGCAGTCATTTTAGAGGTTTTATAGCATCAAGAGAATTACAATGTGCCATTAACGAATTTTTTTCGGCAAATTCAAAGACGTTATCTGCATTTTCTTAAATAACATGTGCCATTATCTTTTTACTCTTCTGTCAATGTGAAGTGGCTGGTACGTATTTAGAAAATTTCAGTAAATTATAGTGGAGGATCATTAGATATACAAAAAAAAAAAAAAGGGTAATATACTGATCTTTATATTGGAAGACATGCTAAAAGTAATGTTCATCTCTGCCAATGCTATGTTATATCGAGGAACATGATGGACTGATCATAGTACTGCTCCAATGATTTGCTATTCGATATTTTTTGATGTGATGAGTTTATAATTACTTTGAATATACGTAATGATACAAAGGATTATTATCTCATCTCTCTTTTTGAGGTTTAATGATCTGACATTGTATCTTTGTGAGTCCATCTAACTCTAGTTATTATAGGAGGAACAGGTATGATGTAATAATCAAATAAAAATGAAGATGATCTCGAAATGACTTTGATAAATATATGATAAAATTTGATGAGATAGTAGGATATATATCATTATATAAGAAGTGATATAAAATTCGTATTTAGAAAAA